ACCATGATGATGATGGAGACCTCCACATGTTGGGAAAACGTTTGTGTCGCTTTGCACGTAACCATGAAGATGCAGAGAATGCAATGGCCTGCAACAAAGTCGCTTTCCTTAATATGCCTTGGCAGCGTCACTAACACGTTGAGGTTCGTCGCAGATGTGTTTGTTTTATTTTACAAGTATAAAAAAAAATTACAACCGATATTGCCCACAGATGACGGATATAAATAATGGCATATCTGTGTTTCTAAACAGAAAATATGGCATGCTAATTCGTACGGCATATATATTTTTTATAGAAATATATATTTTGCTTTATATTTCTCTTTTAAATGTGTGTGTGCTATATCTGTGGTTGCAAATTATTATTGTCGCACCTTTGGGAAAACTCTCGCTCTAAAAGCGAATAATTAATTGAGATTGGCGTATGTTAAAAACTGCATACAATTGACGCTATTGTTTGGAACACTGCTGCCTTAGCTCTGTTTAAACTTTTCATAACGTAGGAAATATATTGTTGTTTTTTAATACAAGGGGAAGCTTGCATTGCGAACTGCATAATTCGGATCTTTACTTAGACCTGGAGGAATCCGATGACCTCTGAAGCTCTTTTTCACAGATGTCCAGTATGACCTTGAAGCAGATGGCGAGATATTGAAGGTCGCATCTCTCCTGTTGCAGAAGCTGCGGGATCTGACAAAGGGGGATAACGCGTAGGCAGCGAGATGATAGTGGTAGTGGCGGTGTCATCAACAGCCTTGGCCATGATAACGTCTTCATCTTGACTAGAGTCACCGTCCCTGTTCAGGGAGTGTTGATGCAGCCGTCTGTGGAGCTGTCCAAGGTACCTCGATCCATCCCACTGTGTCTCTGTCATCTGTGTTGCTGCTGTAGGGAGCTGAGCCAATTCAATGGTTCCTTTGCTACCAAGTTTGTCTACTCACTCCGCTTTACCAACAAACTAAAAAGTCGAACATGAGGAGGCCAGGTGGCTTCGAGGTCAGAGCATTGAGCCGGCACTGATGAGTTCCAGAGTTCGAATACAGGTTTCAGTCGCATGTGATTAAACCGGGTTCTTAAGTTGAGTGAGTTGATAATAATTGCGAACGTGTGCCGCGAACGCTGCAGAGTGGTCGCTCACTCCGAGAGTGAACGGCTCCTCCGAGAGTGAGCCACTAAGCAAATACAAGCGGTGGTGTCGAGCCGGTGCCAACAATTGCCCAAGCTCTGCGGCCCGTCGCGTACGAAGGTGTTATCGGCCAATTAATGAGCGTTTACTAAGTTGACTTACGAGAAAACATTGGAGCACCCGGGAAAATACATCCACGCGTGCGAGGGGGCAACACTCTATGCCGAATTTGCAGAACAGATGGGAGTCCACATTTTTGCTGGTGCGTCTTCTCCTGGCAGGCCAGGTCATGGCACCTCCTTGATGCCCACGGGTAGAAGGGAGTTTCGCAATCCATCTGTGCGTGATCAACCAACCCTCGCCGCTGCCTTCACAGCGCTGGATTGCCGGCCACCACGTACAGCAGCGTAACCACCACCGTCCGGTTTTCGTCACCCACGACGGCACAACAAAGGCGTCACGTTGAATTTAATTCTCCGCTCAATTTGGCCAGGTTTCAGCTGAGTTTAATAAAGAATACGGGTTTTAACTGTCAAGTGTGAAAGTGATCTCGGAATTTATAAAGTAAATAAGCAGGAAATGTCTCCTTCACATATCCATGTCTCAACGGTGACAAACGAAAAAAAACACATCTTACGCAACCATCAGCCACACGGCCTTCTGAGAGTGCATCATTTCAGCTGCATTCATTCAAAGCAAGCAAAAAAAAAACTGTGGACCGGTTTCGATATAACGCGTCTCAACAGCAGAGTCGAGCTCGCTTGAATCATTACCCGTGAACTGCCGATCTTACATTCAAGAGCTCTCCCTCTCTTAACACTACGGGTCCTAGTTTGACGCAGCAAAAAAATAAAGAACGTATCGTGACACACAACTCGAACTGATCAAAATAACCATCTCAGAATTAGGGCACTAATTCTGAGATGGTTCTGTGATACTCTTTGTTTTTTTTTCGGTAAAGTCACGTAGGTAAAATAAAAATAAAATAATATAATAAAACAACTAAATTAAATCACGACGTTTCGGAGGCAACACAAGCTTCCGTCTTCAGGTTGAACAGTCACAGCGAAATAGCTGCAACTATCTCGCTGTGACTGCAGCTATCTCGCTGTGACTGCAGCTATCTCGCTGTGACTGCAGCTATCTCGCTGTGACTGCAGCTATCTCGCTGTGACTGCAGCTATCTCGCTGTGACTGCAGCTATCTCGCTGTGACTGCAGCTATCTCGCTGTGACTGCAGCTATCTCGCTGTGACTGCAGCTATCTCGCTGTGACTGCAGCTATCTCGCTGTGACTGCAGCTATCTCGCTGTGACTGCAGCTATCTCGCTGTGACTGCAGCTATCTCGCTGTGACTGCAGCTATCTCGCTGTGACTGCAGCTATCTCGCTGTGACTGCAGCTATCTCGCTGTGACTGCAGCTATCTCGCTGTGACTGGAGCTATCTCGCTGTGACTGCAGCTATCTCGCTGCGACTGTTCCACCTGAAGACGGAAGCTTGTGTTGCCTCGGAAACGTCGTGATTTAATTTAGTTGTTTTATTATTATATTATTTTTATTTTACCTACGTGACTTTACCGAAAAAAAAACAAGAGTATGAATCCTTGCAGTCACGGAAGCTTCAAATCTAGAATTAGTTCTGTGATGCTTACTTTCAACGTGCAGTTCACTGACACTAAAGATTGCGCTGCTCTGCGACAATAAGAAATGGAATTATTCGTCTATTGACACGGACAGCATAATCCACTTGAACAAAGTTGTTGAAGAGACCTACTTAGTTTAGATTGTTTCTAATGGATGATGTATTTGTTTGTCAGGAGTTTGATACAAACTAAACTTTCTTTTTGATTTAAAGCTTTCGTGACTGCAGGGATTCATATTCTTGGTTCTTTCGGTAAAGCACGTAGAAGGGAAACAAGAAAATAATAAAAAATATAAAACAATAAAATTCTCACTATTGTTTTATATTTTTATTATTTTATTGTTTCCCTTCTACGTGACTTTACCGAAAGAACCAAGAATATAAACTTTCTTTGTTAATCTTCCTTGGTTCTTTCGGTAAAGTCACGTAGAATGAGAATAAAATAATAAAATAACACAATAAAATTCTCACGACGTTTCAGCCACAACGCAAGCGGCCGTTGTGGCCGAAACGTCGTGAGAATTTTATTGTGTTATTTTATTATTTTATTCTCATTCTACGTGACTTTACCGAAAGAACCAAAGAAGATGAATCCTTGCAGTCACGAAAGCTTTAAATCGAAATTTATTTGTTAATTCACCAGATGAGGCCCACTGAGCTCTCTATCTCTTCTTCAGAAGCGACCTGGCTACAATTGATAGCTAATCACGTGGAAAAGTATGTCAGCCCAATACTCGAAATGCACGTTGATTTTAAATGTGGAGGGAAAAACCGGAGGACCTGGAAAAAATGCCACGCGACCACGGGGAGAGAGACACCGCAAACTCCAAATACACAGGCATCAGGGTCGGGATCGAACCCACGACTTCCTGCATACCAGGCGAGTAGTTACCATCTCGCCACCGTGGCGCTCGAGAGTACGACCTACACTACAATCGCTTTCCCTTGACAATATTTACTTCAGTGCTATATCTCTGCTCGCGATCGATGTCCGGGTTTCGTTACATTTTTTCCCGAACGAACCGCGCTGGCTTTTCCCATGCTCCGTCTAACACCGGGTGAAGCTGGCCCCAGTGCTGTGGTTGTTTGGGGCTTGCCAGGCCACGTGAAACACGTTCCTGGTCGGTACGCTCAGCATGTTAATATTGATTTTCACGACTTCCGTCTTTGCCTCACTGACGTTCAATCGTTGCTTTCGAGGGGCTATCTTCTCGTACGCACCGCTCAGTTTTCTCCAGGCACTCCGCCCCCCCTCCCTCCCCCACGTGTAAACAACTTCAAGAATGAAATTGGCCCAACGTGGCCGACGCAAGGACACTCCTGAACAAACAAAAAAAAACATCTGCGAGGCTCACTGTGAGCCTCGCTGGGAAAACAAAACAGGGGGCAAATGTTAAACGTTTGAACCCAGCTGTGCAGGGTGAATTAACACCATCCCCTTCTTTTTCCCATCTCTCCCCCCTACCATATCCTCCTCCCATTCATCACACTTTCGCACGGTGTGTGTGTCCCACTCTGTACCACAGTCAGAGCTGTTGGTCACATTGCACGCTGTATAATTCCAAATTGTTTTGAAATGGCCGGATAGCTTCGTGGTCAGGGCATTCATCCAGCACTGCAAAGGTGCTGGCTACAAATCGAGATTTCAGCCGCTCATAATAAAACTGGGGCTTGCATCAAGACCCTATAGACTTCCATAGATAACCCACAGACTCACACAGAGACCACGAGACTTACATAGAGGACCATAGACTCACATAGACCATCATGGATTCACGTAGAGACCCATGGACTTGCATGCACTGAGTTGTGATTGAACCGGTTCACCAAATGTGTGCATTGGTTTAATGTCTTAGCCCGATTACTAATAGCTTCTTAACAACTAACAAAACAACCGCGTTACATTTGATTTTCACTCAACCTTCCTAGATTTCAGAATCGTCGCATTTAAATACAAGGTTAACAAAATACAGTGGAATTGATATTGGCCAAACAGTCCAGTGGCCAACAATTACCTTGCAATTTCACTCATTCATATACCCCTTCATCCGTTAGGAAAACAACGCAACTGAATAAGCGACATTTAGAGGCAACGGCCCCCCCCACCCTACCTTTCTGACCCGACACCTTGAAAACTGGGGTAGGACCCTCCTGAAAAAAAGAGTCGTGAGATTCAGCGGAGGCTCTCCTGGGTAGCAATGTAGTCGTAACAACAACAACAAAAGCTTCTCACCTCTTATCGAGGGACGGGACACTGGGCCGAGCTGCCCAAGAGATGGCAGCACGTTCCCGTAGCAGCTCGTCCGTCCGCTGCGCGTTCACCCACTGCGCGTTCGGGCCACCCGGGTCAGACGTGGCATGGGGAAAAGGCACAAAACGCGGTTCGCTCGGCAAAAAAAAAAAAAAATGTGACGAAAGCGCGGACATCGATCGCGATCAAATATATAGCACTGAAGTTATTAATTTCAAGGGAAAGCAATTGTGGTGTCTGTCTTACCGAGCTCGCCTCGTGTGCAGGAGGTCGTGGTGTTCCATCCAGACCCTGACGCTTGTATGCTTGGAGTTGGTCACAAATGATAGCTCAACGAAGTGGGTTATCACGTCCCATAAAGCCAAACTATTTTTATATGTTTTTTTTTTTATTTTACCCTTTTAAGACCCACCGAGCTCTAAAGCTCTTTTTCAGAAGCGACATGGCCACAAATGGAAAGCCCACAGAATTTGGCTTATCGCTTGGACATTTACAGCGGGCAAATCCTCTAAACGCACATTGATTCCAAATGTGGAGGGAAAAAACCGGATGATCCGGAGAAATATCCACGCTGGAGAGAGACACGCAAACTCCAAATACAGTATGCAGGCGTCAGGGTCGGGTTCGAACCCACGACCTCCTTGCATACCAGGCAAGGTAGTTAACATCTCCACATCGTAGCATCCCATCTACTCCATATATCTTTCCCTCCGCACAAAACAAAATAAACATTTGTATTTTCTTTATTTTTGTTACACATACCATCAGTCACACGCAGAAAGAGTGAAAGGGTGAGGAGAGGCTCGTCAAAGGTGGCCCCCGAGGGTGACACGCAAACTCAAATACCTGTCCCGCTGTGTTACCTCCCTCCCTCCCTCTCTCCCTCCCTCCCTCCCCTCCCTCCACTCTCTCCCTCCCCTCCCTGCCTCCCTCCCCTCCCTCCCTCCCTCCCCTCCCTCCCTCCCTCCCTCCACTCTCTCCCTCCCCTCCCTCCCCTTCCTCCCTCCCTCCCCTCCCCTCCCCTCCCTCCCCTCCCCTCCCTCCCTCCCCTACCCTCCCTCCCTCCCTTCCCTCCCTCCCTACCCTCCCTCCTTCCCTCCACTCCCTCCCTCCCTCTCCTCCCCTCCCTCCCTCCCTACTCTCCCTCCCCTCCCTCCCCTCCCCTCCCTCCCTCCCTACCCTCCCTCCTTCCCTCCACTCCCTCCCTCCCTCTCCTCCCCTCCCTCCCTCCCTCCCTCCACTCCCTCCCTCCACTCCCTCCCCTCCATCCCCTCCCTCCCTCCCCTCCATCCCCTCCCTCCCCTCCCTCCTCCCCTCCCTCCCTACATCCCCCCCTCCCTCCACTCCCTCCCCTCCCTCCCCTCCCTCGCCTCCCTCCCCACCGTGAACACGCAGCACGCTCGCACTGGCCCCGCTTGGTCTGCTCTCTCGTGTGGTTTGGAGAAGAGCCAGAGACCACTCGACCGTGATCCTCAGAGAAATGCGAAGTGGGGGTGTGGGGTGGGGGCTAGAAGGGTTGAGGGGTGGGGGGGTGCCCACACCCTCGCCGTGTCTCTCACTCCGTCGACCCTTCATTGACGGTGGAGGTGTCGCTCAGTTCGTGCACGGAATTCTTGCAGCGGTCCCCTTGTTCTCGTTGCTCGGGGCGACACTCAGCGAACTGTCTGCGCCGACACGCACGAGCGTCGCATTCCATATCGGTGCATTACATCACGCACGGATATTCATGCGCGCGTTACATAACGCGAATAAGTCGAAGGCCTCTTTGGCACTCCGCTGCTGCACGAGCGCCTCCCCCATGCGCCGTGGGACTCGATTGCGAGGCTGCTTTTTGACCGTCCGTCGCCGCCTTGGTAAGCGCGGGTTGGTGACGGCGGGGAGCATAGACGTGGGTTGAGGATAGTACGGTACAACAATGGTTTGTTCGAAAAAATAGCTGTATAGTTCAGTGGACCTTACATGGTGAAATAATAAAAAAACAAGTGCCAAATCACTGGTTTGCAGTACTTACGCCCCACGTTAGTGCCTTACCCTGGAGCATCTCGGTGAGCAACATACGAACAAACCGCTGTTGTACCGTACCCTCCTCCTAACGTCTATGCTCCCCCGATCCTTCACAAACCCGCCGCTGACCAGCTCGGTGACGGACGGTAAAAACAACAACAACAACAGAGCCCCCTGGGTCGAATCAAACCAGGTGGGGAGGCACCCATCCAGCATTGGATTGACGACAAAATAAAAAAAAGAACTGCAACTTAGGTGTTCGACCATTCCGAGCCCTCTGCGGACTCCGACTCTGCTCACATTCCTAGATTTGAAGCTTTCGTGACTGCAAGGATCCATACTCTTTGGTTCTATTCGGTAAAGTCACGTGGGTTGTTTTATTTTCTGCTCACATTCTGAGGATCCGGACGAGACCTGGGTCCCATTCCGGCTGGCACGTCCACAGAGCAGCCTTTAACGCGCAATCATTCGAGCGAATGTTTCGAACGGCTCTGAAGTCAGCAAATAATGAAATGCGATGGTAATGAGACTACCTATGAAATAATTAATCTACAGCCATTTGTCAGGCCGCCGATGGATGAGGGTGAAGTACTCCCCACGCCGTTTCAGGCATGGAGGTTGGGTGGCCATACTTCACCAGAATCAGGGACCGGTTCAGCTATCACTCGCTGCTGATGTTGGCCGTGGCCGGGTGATTGGACTCGGGTCACCGAGTATCGTAGCGGATTGCGCGAATGAACTCCTGTGACGCTGTTCCACCCAAGGATGGAGCACTGAAGAACAAACGTGCGATCAGTCTGCTCATAGATAGACGTCTCCCGTCCATGTGTTAGTCACGGGGGTTGTTTGACCATGCTTACTACCTTGACTCACCATTGTGAATGTGTACGTGTAATACAAAGACGAAGATCCCCCGTATAACCTTAACAGACTGAAGGGGCAAGTGGGGTTAGCGGGAAACTATGAAGGCTGGCACGGCACACGAGGGTGTGGAATGCCCAGCACCCACACCCGACCGCCTTTGTCTCCCCAGTGGCGATGTTTAGACACCACACCAGGTACTAGGGGGAGGCCCAGGACCGGTTCAGATATATTTTTCACTGGTGGTAGCCGTGAGCGGGAATCGAACTCGTGTCGCCGGGGTAGGAGCACAGTTCCATAACTGCCGTGCCACCGCTCCCCACATACATGCGCGTGCATGCACAGAGACAAACAGGAATCATTATTTACGTTGAGCGTTTGAGATTGTAAGTAATGTTTGCGAAACACTATTAAGGTCAGCGCAGCACCACCTTTGTCTCCCTCAGTGTTTATTTCCACTGGGTACGCATATTTAAGGCCGAGTGAACCTAGATGAGGGTCAGTACAGGTAGCAATTAACATCCATGGCCAGGGAAAGGAAAATTTACCCTAGTCAACGGGCTCGTAGCAGAGAGTCCAACCCACTGCACCACCACTCTGCAGACGCGTGCACGTGAACGCGTGGAGGATTATCAACCAATGTGACTCAACGTTGTAACCCCCCCTCCCCCACGTTTGATTTCAACCTTCAGCATCGGCACCCAGGGCATGGCATCTCTATGTGAATATAGCATTGGGACACCCTTTGATGTTGGTCTGCACTCGTTCGAACCCGCATACATTTGCAGCTCATTCCGAGTTAATGTGCCCGGCGATTTGCTCGCCGCTTGCTTGCGGTGTGATTCATGCGGTGGCTTGAACCGGGGCGATTCAGAGGTTCAGGGGTCCCAGACGGGGTCGGATTAAGTTTGATGCGGGGGAGGGAGGTGGGGGACAATGGGATGTCCCTTTTTGCAGTGGCCCCACTCTTTGTAAATTCAGATCCTTCCCGTGACTTATTTTTTTTTTGCCAACGCCCATACCCAATGTCAAACGCCCCACTGTTATTCACCTGGGATGTTAACTACCTCGCCTGGTATGCAGGAGGTCGTGGGTTCTATCGCGACCCTGACGCCTGCTGTATATTTCAAGTTTGAAATATAGAGCAGGCGTCAGGGTGGATTTTTTTTGTTCGGGTCCTCCGGTTTTTCCCTCCACATTCAGAAACATAAATTTAGAGTATTCGGCTGCTATGCATTTCTACCCGATAAGCCACTTCGTTGATCTATCATTTGTGATAGGCAGGTCGCTTTTTTAAAAAAAAATAGCTGTATAGCACGGTGGGACTTATCTGGTAAGAAAAAAAAGTGTAGGTTATTTTAAAAAATGTAATACACGAATTGTAAAGCCGAACCAATTAAAGTGTTATTCTGGCATACGCTTTGTTTTTTTCGGTAAAGTCATGTAGGTAAAACAAATAAATAAATGAAAACTAAATTTAATCACGACCAACGAGTATGACTCCTTGCAGTCACGAAAGCTTCAAATCTAGAATGTTATTCTGACACACGACTGACTGCAAGTAATGCACGAAGTGATGCTCTGTATTTATTTACCGAATGACGCAAATGCTTCATTGTAATGCTACAGCACCGTATTGATTGCTGAAGGCATTAAAAGCACTAATTTTAACAAATGCACAGCTATTGCCATCCTGTATGTATGTTGAGTTCATTTCGCACCGTACCGTGCTAATCGGAGGTGGCGGGGGAAGCACAAGAAATGCGGCCGTAGGACCGCAAAACCTTCATCGTCATCAGTCAGTGTCTATCCGCTGCTGGATGAGGGCCTTTCCAAACGTCGTCGCGATCTCCATAAGCCGCAGTGACTGCGAGATGCTGGACGAGGGGGACTCGACGGCCGGAGCCTCCGCTCCACGCCGACGTCTCGAAGACTCCGTCCGTGCGCCTCACATTCTCGACAAACCGCTGCTGGGTGTCACCCCGCATGCGACTTGCCTCGATTGAGGACGGGGGAATGGAGACACGTGGATGTGCAGTGCACACGGAGCTCGTCGGAGTGAGTGGGGGGGGGAGCAGGAGATGGGGTAGCACATCGTCTGTGTGGTGGGGTGGGGGGGGGCAGGAGATGTGGTGGCACATCGTCTCTGTGGTGGTGGGGGGGGGGGCAGGAGATGTGATGGAACATCGTCTCTGTGTGTGGTGGGGGGGGCAGGAGATGTGATGGAACATCGTCTCTGTGTGGTGGGGGGGGGCAGGAGATGGGGTGGCACATCGTCTGTGTGGTGGGGGGGGCAGGAGATGTGATGGCACATCGTCTCTGTGTGTGGGGGGGGGGGGCAGGAGATGTGGTGGCACATCGTCTCTGTGTGTGGGGGGGGGGGGCAGGAGATGTGGTGGCACATCGTCTGTGTGGTGGTGGGGGGGAGGGCAGGAGATGGGGTGGTACATCGTCTGTGTGTGTGTGGGGGTTGGGGGGCAGGAGATGGGGTGGTACATCGTCTGTGTGTGGTGGGGGCAGGAGATGGGGTGGCACATCGTCTGTGTGTGGTGGGGGTAGGAGATGGGGTGGCACATCGTCTGTGTGGGGGTTGGGGGGCAGGAGATGTGATGGCACATCGTCTCTGTGTGTGGGGGGGGGGGCAGGAGATGGGGTGGCACATCGTCTGTGTGTGGT